TACTTTGTGCTGTTTAGTTTTGCCTCCCAGCTGCTTTTATATACTGACACCGAGGCTTAATTTGTTTGGAAACAAAGCCTCTGCACACATTGCCTCTGCATTCTTGTTTGCTTTGCATTAGTATTTATGGCCGCTCAGCTGAGCCCTGGAGGAGAAGGCAAGTGGCATCCCAGGGAACGTGTTTGTGGGAGAGCAGCCGGGACAGACAGCTCACAGGCAGGAGAGAACTTCCAAGTGTACACACAGTCCCTGCACATATTTAATTTGAGAATCACCATGGCATCAAGACACATGAAGTATCCAGGATGAAGTCATCGTCTTATGTTCCCAAAATTGTAATCCATGTAAACATATTTCACAGGGAATACTGAACACAGGCTTTAGTGCAGAGGTAAAATACCTGATAAGATCTCCTGGCCTGCTGCACACCTTGGGCTGCTGTCAGCCCCAGCCGAGGGACCAGAGCCTCCAGCTCTGCCTTCCATCTCAGGCAGACTCTGCATTCCTTGGTCTGACTGAGCCTTCCCAAAGAGCAGGACTTAAAATGCACATCAACCACAACTCAAACTCCTCATGTGTTCACAGGGTAACACAGGAGCATCGGTAAAAGTAAGACCAGCAGAGACACACCAGACCAAGTGCACAGGAAAATCCTTTCCCAGTAAGGCAAATCCAGTTCTAGGGATAATGGTGTTTCACAGGTCTGTGCCATGACTGGTGTGACCTACAAAACCTCCTCTGCCGAGCCTGAGATTTTCAGATGAGCCTAACAGCTACCTGCTCCAGAAGTTAATACTGCTACTGATCTCTGGGGAGCAGAATTATACCGAGTACTAAACCACCCAAATCTCACCTTTGAAAACAGCTTCTCAGGACATGGTTATTACAGCAGTCCAAGATCCAGGCAGCACTGGATCTGACACTTGCACTGACAAATCGAGGAGGACAGGAGGTTCTTATGCTGCCCATCTCCAACACCAGGTCCTTCCTGCAGATCTGCCATGCTGCAGAGAGGCTTTGCAGTCACACACACCATCGGCTGCTGCAGAGCTCACAGAGATGCTCTCAGGGAGCTGCAGGCACAGCAGGAGTACACAAACCAATCCTCAAACGACCTATGGACACTCCAAGGCTGTTTCCCAGCACTCCAGCACTGCCAGGCCTGTGCCATGCCCATCCATGTCCCTGCAGCACCAACAGAGCTTTCAGCTCCCCTCTCCTCCCACCCACTGCCCACCATGCCAAGGGCATCGTCCTGTCCTCAGGCTCCTCCTCTCCCACCCACGCTATGCCCAGAAACCTCTCTCACATGAGGGGCACCCCGAGCCCCTCACAGTGCTTCCTCCTGGGCTGGAGCAGCCTCCTCCAGGAGCTCACCCCACAACAGGCGTTTCATTTCCACTCCTGTGCACTACACACTGCTGAGCATGCAATAGGTTAAACAAACTGATGATAAAGTATTCGACTTCGTTAGTTTTCATTACCATAAAAAAACATCAATTACATTTTCTGTTTTATGAGTGTACACAGGGGAATCCATTACAGTAACCAAGAGGTTATATGACTCTTTCTGCTGCTTCTTTCCTCAGCAAAAAGAACAGTTTGTTTTTAGAGCCGGTGACACCGGCGCAGAGGAGGGGAAGGCACACCGGCATATCTGCACAGACAGCTCCTACCCTGATTTATCCAGCCTGGCTCCAACTAATTAAACATCTGCCTCAACGATTTCCTCTGCAGATTTATCTTCTCCAGTATGCAGCACTGACTGGTTGTTACAGGCTCTTCCCTACCTCGCAGCCATTCCCATGTCCTTTTCCCAGTTGGTCATTTGGGCAGGAGATGACCAGCACTGCCGTTAGTGCCCTGTGGCTGGGGCAGGTCAGCAGGTCCCACAGCTCTGCTCCAGGACACCCACATCCTCTAGGGAAGGACTCGGGGCCACGGCTCAAAGCTCCAGCACATCCACGTTATTTCACCACCTGCATTTCCCCTTGACTGACTCAAACATCAGTATTTAAACATGGTCAGAGTTCATGTGCCAAAAGCCTTGAGACACCGAGAGAGCAAAATTGCAAGGAGCATGAAACAGTGTCACCAGTTTGCAATGATTTTATCTACCTAGAGCTAGGCACAATCAGAATATTCCTTCCATTTTTTCCAGCCCCTTTCCATGAAGCCAAGGCTGTACCTCACTTCTGTCTCCTACTGACCTGTACCTTCCTGCAACAAATAATCTCTACTGGCTGAATAAAGTGTTCAGAGAAAACCAGTCTCGTGTTTTTGCCCTGGTCATGCTGAACAAACTACGCAACAGGAATTCCTCAAATTCTTCCTCACCCAAAGGAGCTGACCCAGGTTTGCATTTTCCTACCAACATAGGATCAGACTGAAAAATGTCCTGTAAGTCATCATGAAAACAGGTCAGAAAAGCAACTGCTTCTACCAGTTCATGGAACAGCATAAGCTGCAACAGATCCCTCTGTCCTAAGAAGGCTGGTCCGGAGGCCCACGGAGAACAGGCAGAAAGGCTCACGGGCATCTCAGTTCGATTAAACATTCCAAAAGCTTAAATAAACACACCCAGTCTATGTTTGGTAACGACTGTGAACATGAGAACAACCAGCTTTAAAGGAAGCATTGCTGAAGGAGGAGAAAAGCTGCTCCTAAATTATGTCTTATCTCTGATTCACAACTTGGACATCCTAATCCACCTCTCAATAATGACTTGACCCACTCAGCACAGTCCTGTGCTGCCCTAATGGTCTGACCTGCCCTTCCACCCACCCCTGCACCCCCAGGGAAAGTGAGAGGCTCAGCCTCTCCCATTACAAGGAGTCCAGTGGCAGCTGAGGAATGATGACAAAATCTTTTCCTACTCCTGCTCCAGTCTCTCCGTGCCCACTGCAGTGACATCCTAGGTTCTCCCTGCCTTTAGCCCTGCAGCTTTCGCAGCCCAGCAGACCCTCCCAAGCCTCCCTGGCTCCCAGAGCCTGATCACTTCTGGGTGAGGGAAGCAATTGGGAATTCTGGAAGTTTTGGATAAGGGAAAATAATTTTATTAAGAATTTCTGATTTATCGGTGTAAGACACAAACACCAGAGCCAAGTGCCAGTACTGCATGACAGCTCCAGTGACGTACCCTGAGTGCTCTGGTCCCAGGGACCCCATGCCCAGAGCTTACAGCTCTGGCTGTGCCTAGACACGAGCAGAACCCAGACCTGTCAACACAACTGTTTGGAGAAAGCCAAACGTGTGTGTCCTTGTAAACATCCCAGTACGTAACCAAAGGGTTCATAGCTGACTTCCACTGAGGTTCTACCCACACCAGGGGTGCTGGTCGTGTCTCAGAGATAACTTACAAAAGGTAAATATTTTTCATATACAATTAGCCCCCAAATGACACATATATGCTATGTCCCTGATCCTGCCAGGGGCTGTGAGCAGCAGGGCTGAGGCAGCATGAGTGAGTGGAGGAGCTGCAGGAAAAAATGCCAGGTCCATTCCTCTTCTAAACTACTGAGCTAAAGCAACAAAACCAAAGCAACCCCAAATTTCAAACAGACAATGAGTGGAACATCTGTTACACGGAGGGGGGAAGCAGTTTAGAGCCTGAGCTAAGCGAATCCTTTAGCGACCTCCCTTCAGGGAAGGGAAATCTGACCCTGGGAAATAAATAAAAGTCACCCAAAAAGTGAACAAAAGAGGTGTTTGAAAAAACCCAACACCATTCATCGCCGCTAACGACTCGTTCATTATGAGTGATGATGGATAAAGACTTCTCATGCTGAGATGAAATCAAGATTTATATGCATTGTTTCCTCTCCCAACTTGTGGGAAGATCATCATCATTTAATTCTATCTCTGCGGCCAGTGATGGGCATCCAGAGAGCTGGTTCTCACACGGCGCAGTCAGCTGGCACATCTGGCGGTGGCGCCGCACCGAGCATGGCCCTGGCCACGCGCCAACCCGCGCAGACCTGGCAGCGCTCGTCCAGCTCTGCTCCCCCACCCCCTCTCTTTACGAGAATCAGATTTTCATTGCTCCCTTCAATTGCTCTTCTCTGCCATTTTTTACAGCTCTTATCGTTCCCTTAGAATATGGCCTTGAGACAGCTCATCCGTGTCCTTCACTGTGTTATCTCTTCTAACTTTTATTAAAACTTCAGCTCTCATCTGAAGATAGCTAATTAAATCCATGACAGATTATACACACGCTTAAAAACTGCACTGAACTACTTCTTCTCCAGAGCACAGTGCTGATTTTCCTTCCCCACAGTTAAGACTGAGGCTGTATAAAGAGGTTCCATTCATTTACAAAGACAAGATCCTTATCTTTCCCCCCTATATAGATGGGTTTATATTAAAGTTCCTTTGTTGCGTGACAAGACTCGGTGCAATTTCTCTCGGTAATTATTTCTTGTTGCTGGCTGTTTCTCTCAGCCTTTTCCTTTTGAAATACATACACTAACAAATAGGTGGATGCACATTTCCCCCCCGGAAAAGCATTGCTTCGAAATAGAAATGTACATTTTCTTGCTGAAGTGTTGATATGCCTTAACTCTAACAGCACAATTTTGACAACACCGCAGAAAGTAAATGTTTCAGTTTCTCTACAAGCAACCATGAGTCCCTGAAATTATTTAAAGTCACACTAAGCACCATTTTCTTACCCAAATTAAAAGCATATATACAAACTGTCGTGGGCTGGGCTGGCTGCACTCCCACCCATCGTCCCAAACTGCCACAAGCTGGACCTGAATGCAAATGGCTTTGTTATCCTGGATAAATATTTGCAGGATTGGATATACTGCTCTGCAGCAAAGACTGTGCAGCTCCTGCACTGTCAGCTCTGTGCCAGAACACAGACCTGTGCCCAGAACCGCTGAGTGGGGCTGGGACACAACCCCCAGAACCTGAGCAGTGTTCACAGCAGTTACAGAGACAGAATATGCTCCTGCAGAAATCACCCTGCCCTCCAGAAAACATGAGGAACAACCCACCTGAGCCTCTCTGCGATCCCTTCCTTCTCTTTAAGGCCTTTTGTAAGATATCCTTCATGGTGACCTTCATACTGTCCACCTGAATAAGTGAGAATCCATGAGCAGCATTTCTGCAAGACAGATGCACATGCAGTTTTACAAAACAATCATCACCGGCAGCTCCCCGCAGTCGTCGTTAGCTTCAAGCAAAGCACTCGTTAGGCACACGGTTAACGAAGTTGGGCTGTGAAGGGAAGTTAAAGGAGAAACTGAGCAAACATCCTTAGCAAGGCAGAGACAAAACCAGAGAAAATGGATTGACATTCAAGGGGTGTATGGATTCCCTAATGTATTGCTGTTTTTGATCACTTTGTGCTCACCATTACAAGAGAAAAACGAGCCAATGTAGCTGGGGGCTCCTCAGCACGTGTCGGTGGGGTGTTTCACAGCACAGGGCAGAGAAGCAGTTTGCAGGGACATTTTCATCCGTGCCCCAGACATAACAAACCACTAGGGAGAAGTGGTGGGACATCCCTTGGCTCTGCAGCACTGCCGGGGTATTACTCCATGCATTATTTCAAACCTCAGTAAGGTGCTTTTTTGGACACATTTTAGTGAGCACAATGGCACAAAATCTCCCAGAAACATGCCAGTAGGTCCTTGTCCTGGCCATCACCCACGCAGGGGGAAGGACTGGAAAAAGCACGGGGATGGCTATGGAGGCACCCCTGGGGAAGCAGAGAGGATGGCTCTATCACAGAAGAGACACTGGATGAGCATATCAGCAAATTTTGCCCCTTAGCCCTCGCAGTCAGTCTCGGCTTGTGTCAGTAGATGTCACTGCAGACAGTTCCAGGGAAATCCGAGCGCTGAGGGCTCCCACCGGAGAGATTGCTCTGCATGGAAAAACTGGTTTGCAAAGCTATTTGGGCAGGAGGAGGAGCTTTGTATCTGGCAACCAGGAATTTTAATCAGAGAGTAGAGCTCTATATGAACAGCACAGCTGGAATATTTTTACAAGCCACTGGCAGTCGAAAGCAATCCAAGCCACACAAGTACATCCTGAAAAACGAGACCATGTTACATGCCACTTTGAGGCACAAACGCTGGACTATGGGTTGGAGCCCAGGTCACATCAGATGTGCCATGCCCAGCTGGGATGGACACAGACCCCCAGCCACTGACCATGGCTGGACATGGTGCCTAGGACCCTCCTGCTAGGCACAGGTGCCTGTCCTGCAGCCACTCAGTGCCCAGGAAGGTCCTGCTGGGCACAGCTCCCTGTCCTGCAGCCACTCGTGCTCCTGGGGCCACCAGCCCAGCCCGAGCCCTGCGGATCCCCCACTCTGGTGTCAGACGCTGTTCCCCTCTCCCTGCCTGTGCCTTGGTCTCATCTGAATCTCATTTTCAATTCCCTTTGTTCCTGGCAAAATGAAACTGCCTAAAAGCCCCAAATTTATGTTCTCCAGACCATTTATTATTTATAACTCTATCTCACTCATCTTCAAACCAAATATTCCCGATCTTTTCATGCATCCACTTCTCCCTTCTGCCTGTGCTGCGTCGAGTGCAGCAGGAGCAGAGCTGAGCCCGGTGCTCCACAGGAGGGAGTACCACCCTGCGCCACCCTGGGGACAGCGCAGGGCACAGGGCTCTGACCACTGCCCTGCGGTGAGCAGGGACAGTCCTCAGCTCCTCACCGAGGAGCAAACACCCCCTGAGCTGCTGCGGAGTCCCAGGAGGTCCCACCCTTTGCCCAGCAGTGCCCTGGCCGAGCCCTCGCTGCCCAGGGGCCTCATAGCTGCAGCCCCAACTGACCTGGTGAGCAAAATTCAGCCCATTTTTAAGGAGAAAAACCTCTTCTACAATTATGATTACAAGAAGGGAACTGGACCAAGCCATCACAGCACCTGGTGCCTCCAGGTCATGCATACAAAGCTCTGCAACACCGGCAGGAAGTTTCCAGAGAACTCCAACCAAAATACAGCTAAATAAATGAAAATACTGCAGGGAAAAAAGAAACAGCAAAGGCAAAGGATGTTTTCCAAAACCTCCCATGGCAAAACAATTGTGCCCTTAGTATAACCCCCAAGCAGAGCAGGCCCTGCAGCTCCCACCACGGAGCAGCCAACGGCACACGGCCCCAGCTCACATCCCGTGGCTGAGGAACGTCCCAAAAATGGGAGGTTCTCTCTCGGATCCTGGCACTTCACTGCTGAAGAGCACAGGCTGCCGTGACCCCGTTCTGCTCCGGCCGTCCCAGCTCGGCCGGCGCTTCCCGTTGAGCAGCTGCTCTGAGAACTGTCAGCCCCATTTCCCTGACACCCCATTACTAACCCCTGCCTGAGCCATGACCACTCTTTGCCTCAGGAGCTGGATCTCATCCCAGAACAATCTCCAAAAGTTTATTTTACTGATCAAAGCAAAATAAGAAACCCTCTGTGTTTGACTATATTTAGTGTGCGATCCGTGTGCAAGGCCTTGGCAGGGCTGGTGAAAGGCAGAGCTCTTCCAAACTCTTGGCTGTTTGCTCTGGAGCAGAGCCAGAGGGTCCCCAGCCCCGTCCCGTTCAGCCACTGAGCTCTCCCTGCCCCAGCCCTGGGTTCCCTCTCACAATGGGACCTCAGTACAACTTTTCAGCACTCAGCAAACCCACACATCCGAGCCGAGGGTGGATGTAAGCCCAGAGCAAAGAGCTCCTGTCGTCATCCTGGGGCCAGGCCAGTGTGTCAGAGCACGTTTCCTGTGCCCAGAGGAGAAGCCCTACAGGATCACACAGTCACAGAATAGTTCAGGTTGGAAAGAACCTCTGAAGACCATCTAGTCCAAACTCCTGCCCAGGCAGGGTCACCTAGAGCAGGTGACACAGGGACATGTCCAGGTGGGCTTGGAATGTCTCCAGAGAGGGAGAATCCACAATCTCCCTGGGCAGCCTGTTCCCTCCATGGAAAGAAGTTCTTCCTCATGCTGAGGTGGAACTTCTTGTCGTGTAGTTTTGGCCACGACTCCTTGTCCTGCTGCTGGATGTGCTGTCTGGCCATCCTGGAGTCACGCTCCATGCCAGAGCATCTACAGCACCATCAGTCCACCACAGCACTCCACTGTGTGACCACAGCACAGGAGGCTCTGCTGGAGAAACACCCCCAGCTCAGCTCACCCTCCCCAGCTTGCTCTGCACTGCCCACGGGCACAGACTGTCCTTGCTCAGCCCAGCACACCCTCAGCTGTGCTCACAGAGGACACGTTCCACCTCGCTCTGTAGGGTGTGATACCTTCATTTCAATCCACGTGCTGAGAACAGCACAGACGAGCAGATGCTGGTCAATCAATTAAAACTGCTGCTGGCAAATTGGAAGCCAAAGAAATTCCTTAGCTTGTATTTTCTGTCATTTTGCAAAAACATACCTGGGTGACAAGGTTAAATCAAGCAAAGGAAATCCCTGGCACTTATCATCCACAGGCATTACTGATAAATTGTGCAGTGGAGGAATAAAGGATTACCTTCTGTATTTTTTCATTACACTTTTCTTTTGTTACAGAATACATAAATCCATTGTGGCACAATGTAATATGTATCATCGTGCTACACCTGTGGACGTTTCATAACGGCTGCCATGTCTGTGCAGTCAGGAATGATAAGTGAACCACCCGTGAATGTTAATGATAGTGATCATTCTGCGGTAACTTGGCTTTCCATCTTCTTTTACAGCCTCCGCGCCGGAGCCAGGGTGGCAAGGTTCAGGAGAGGGAAAGAAACAACAGCAGAGCAGGAGCTGCCGTGGGAACGGGCAGGGACCCCCACGGGCTCCGTTTGCGCCACGCCACGAAACCACCAGAGCTGGAAGGACAAAAGGCTCCTGCTCCGGACAAGAAATGAACTTTGCCAAAAGCTTCTTCCCAGTCTGGAGCTGTTTTTAGTATTTTTAACACAGAAGTGGAATTTATTCTGCAGAACTGAAGTTTCTAGCACCAAAAGCTCTGGCACAGCGCCTGGCACGGCCAAGGAGCCTGGGAGTGACTAACAGCACTTTGTCCTTGGACAGCACAAGTGAGCCAAGACTGAAATCCCAGCAGACACTATGGGCTCAGCCTGAGCTGGGCAATGTTTTAGATAAAGTGCACAGTGATAGGAACCAGAATAAGTAATGCCAGCCATGAGTTTTATCCTGAGCCTAAATGATCTGCTTTTGTGTGCCTCGGGTTGGCCTTGGGCAGCTCTGTGCACTCCTGAGTTTGAGAGGCTGCATTCTGGCACTACTCCAACTGCCATCAGACCTCTGGAGTCTGCAGCCCTTCTGGGGGTCCCTCTCCACTCTGCTGGGATCCACATTCCTGACTCCAGCACCCATATTACCTGTCCTCAACTGGCACACTATGGATACTCCACAATGCACTATGCAGGTGACCATGTGCAGCCCAGGACCTGCAGGGAGTACTGCTAGAGTCCGAGACAAAACATACCACAGAGCTCTGAGTCTGAATGCACAATGCCAGCCTGGAGCTTTGAAAAGGTTTCAAACCTTAAACTACCAGGTATGGAAGAGGAGATGCCTTGAAAATCCGTATATAATAGTCAAAGCAATTTAAGTGCAATATCAAAACAGAAAAAGTGCCACAGAGCAGAGGAACTGGATGCCAAATTTCCTCTGCGTGCCAACTGGCAGCTGAGCTACAGCTCCTCGAAACACCATTAGACCAAGTGTGTCAAGTTGCAATAATAACATTTCAAGGGAAAAAGCCCTAATGATGGCACAGATTTATTTTAAGCCTCTCAGGTATGACCTCACTGCCTTGAGAAGTGTGTATTTCTGGGGCTCTGTTTGCCTCCTCCTCAGCAGCCGCAGGCTGTGAGCGAGGGCTGTGCCTGACACTGCACAAAGCTCTGCCTTCCACAGCAGCATCTTCCAAAAGCATCACTCGCTAGACTAATGGGCAATGAGAAGCCAGAATGACTGCCCTCCGTCTTCTCCTTGTGTAACTTTGCCAGAGTCCTTGGAACTTGCCAAATTCGGTCATGCCTGCTTAGCTTGCTCGACTGATTGTGCCAGAAAAGAAAATAAGACACAGATGTATTTGAGCTCTTTGAGATGCCAGTAAGAGCGACAGCTAATGGCTTCATTTCGACCCTCCCCTACCAGCTGGGCACAGGTGGGGGGATAATGAGGTCCCTCTCCCTAATCAAACTCAATTATTTACTACTCTGTACAGCCACAAAGACATCCACATCCAGCTTGGAATATAAACTGCACTGTGGGCTACTTCCAGCCACCGCCTCTGGGCATTTATAACCAGCTCAAGTGGCTCAGAGTTTGCCTTGGCAGGAGTTGAAGTGTATAAAGTTCTGCAAACTGCTCCTGCTCAAACTCATCCTGCTGCAACAGTGTCCCTGGCAGGGCTGCACTGCTGCCAGCTCTGATTCTCAGCACCCGAAGGCACATCCCATGCGGGACAGACAGCTCAGGGAAGAAAGGGCTCCAGCACAGAGCTCCTCACCAGCACCAGTGTTTTCCAGCAGGGATTCAATATCAATAGACATTACAAGCCACAAGGCTGACATGGCAGCAGCTGAAATACTTCAGCACAAGGAGGGAAAAAAAAAAGAGATGCAAAATATAAAGGCACAATTACATGCACTAGTAGGGTGACAGGGAGGAGGGAGACACAGAATTTACACCAGATCCCTACACAAATTAGACAGCACGCACATTTACATCACAGTGCTAATGATCTCTTGATCAAGTGATGATCAAGTAATCCTCTATTCTGGGGGACACATTAAATATTCTAATTTCAACCTAACTCTTTATGCAGGAAGCACAAGCAATTTCTAATCAACGTGTGGACACAGGAACAACCAAACCAACCCTCTTGGAGAAGCACTGCTCATGATGCAGTTGTCCTACTTCTCCTCAGCAGCACCTTCCAAGCTAGAGGAAAGCTCCTCACATCAGCACAAATGACTGCAAACCAAAATACTTCACTCCTTCTGCAGGACCTGCAGCTGGACCTTAGTCCTGCTCCAAGCTGCAGCCACAGCACTGCTGGCTGGGCTGGATCGCCCCGAGGTCTCTGGGCTCACACAGGAACACCAGAGCTAACCCCCAGGCCCTGAGCCAACACCTGTTCACTGCACTGACACACCAACCCCAGCTCAGGCACCGAGTGCAGGCACTGGGGGCTAGGGAGGAGGTGGTTGGGAAGGAAAGGGAACCTTTTCCTGACGAGAAATCAGCAACAATTAGAATCATCTAATGACACACCTCTCACTTGGTCTACCTGCAACAAACACCCATGAGCCTGTCTGAAGGCATGGAATTGGAACAGAATTTCCTCTATACCTGCTGTACTTTTCTGGGGATATCAAAAATGCAGGATAACCTTGGAGATAAACGCTCATGGAATCATCACACTAACAGAATTCATGGCACTAGCGCTGGCTTGGGGGAAATGCATGCAGGAGATTCCCTCTCCAGGTGTGTCAGGTGGAAAGACCTGGATATTCTGCAGCTCCGTGGGCTGAGGTTGTCTGGCTCTGCTGGGGAACTGTGACCCCCCAAATCGAGATGGACCTTGCAGTGAGCCTGGAGAGGTTTCCCTGCATCCCTTCCCTCCCCACAGCCTCAGCCCAGCACAGCCACAGCCTCGACCTTGAGCAACTCATCTGTAAGTGCTGTGGGCAGAATGTTTGTTCTCCTGGTGTCCGAGTGCAGTGAACAAAGTCAATGTGGCCTTTGGGAACACACGTGGGATCCTGGCAAGGGCTTTCTGCAGGATGCTTTAGGATGTCTCTAACAAACACAGTACACAATAAAGGATATAAAAACTAATTAAGTAGGCCAGAATTCTTTTAAGTGTCTGATTATTCACAACTGGAAGCAGCTGTAGTGCTAAGAAATGTAAGTGATGTCCAATAACCAGGAAAACCCTATTAGCATTTTCATTTCGAGAGCTCCAAGCATGAAATATTTTTCCCAAGTAACAAGTGGCTTCTGCTCCTGGTATTTTGTTCTAGTAATTAAGGCCTTCTGATGGTTTAAAAGATTTTTCGCTCACAAGTAAAGAAAAATAAAAGTGATCAAGCACAGTACATATCCCTACTTCACTGATAAGGATGTAGCAAATGCTTGTGGAGCTACAAGCCAGACAAGCATCACCTGCAGAGTGGGGAACCACCTGGACAGAGGCATCACCTGCAGAGCATCACCCATACACTAGGCCCCTACATTTTGATAAACTCAGCTGAAGAAAGGCAGAGAAGGAACAAGCTAGGAGGTGTTCCAGCATGGGGAGGTGTCCCAGCACAGGAAGGTGTCCCAGGACAGGAAGGTGTCCCAGCACAGAGCTGCTCCCAGGGAGGTCCCAGCCATACTCACATGCGCACAAAGAGTGACTGTTTGGCTGCCAGGCCGGGGGATGGGTACTTTTCCACTAGTGCCAGAGTGCTGAAGCCAAACTTGTGAATGGGCTCATTGGAATCCAAGGGTGGAAAATCCGTGTCGACCTCGCCGTCGTCCTCGGCGATGTGGAGGCAGTAGGCATTGACGTTGTCGCTGGAAGACACATGAAGCAGGCTTAGTTGGGAGGCAGCAGCACAACCAGGTGAGTGCAGCCCATGGACACCAGTCACCAAACGCTGGAGAGATGCATCTGTACAGGAGGAATACTCTGCAGAGCCACAGATGACACCTCCATAAATACGTCCCCAAAAGTCTCAACATATCTTACTGCCATAACCATCCAGTGATAGAAAACTCCCAAACCTCAGAGCAAAGCAGTCAGTCTTCATCATTAACTGCACTGCAAGAAAACCTGACAGTGATTAAAATACACTAAAGTCTCTGAAAGTTTCATGACTTCATAAAGCTGTGAGTAACATTGCTCCATTTGTGAGAATTTATTTGTCTGATGACTGCAGTTCAGAACTGAGGGCAAACAGAGTCTGCATTTTTTCTGTGAACATTTACTGTCTGTAGGCCAGAGGAGCAGAGAGTGCTCTGGGGCAGGTAAACAGGGTAAGGAACTACGGGAAAAGTAAAAACACAGTAGCAGTGATTAGCAGAAGAGTTACTTTCCCCAAATATCTAAGAAGTTCAGTCACTAGAAGCAGCTAAAACTAACAGAGACCAACTAGCAGATTTAACTGGCACAGAAAGCAGAAGAGCTGAGCCTTCCTTCCCACAGGTGAAAACCCACAGGGAAACAACCACCCATAGCTCCCCAGGAGGTACTAATGATGCCTCCCCAGCGCTGCAATCCCTTTGAGCTGCAGCTGCAGCTGGAGCTGTTGGCCCGAGGAGCAGAGCTCTAGCAGCCCTGGCAGCTCGAGGCCCTCCCGCCGCGCCACAGGGCCCGGGCAGTGCCCTGCTCCACTCTGCAGCTTAAATTTGGAGTTTTAATTGCATGATTGATGCTTAAATTAATTAATTGCAAAGTGTATGCTAATTGTTTAATTGGTCGCTTGATCTGTATAGATCATTTTTTGAATTAAATGAGTTGATTTACAAAGTTTATTGATTGGATGTGACAATGAATTATTTCACTCGCTACCTGATTTGCAATTTTCTCAATTAATTCACAAACCTTTGGTTGCAACTGTGTTTTACTGGGAGTGCTTAGTGCAGGTGATCTATAGGCACCTTGTCATGGCTCAGATGTTAGGCACAGAAAACAGGGAACAGTGACACATTGCTGTGAGTGGAAGCTGGGAATCTGCTAACGAAAAGGGAACTCAGTAATGTTTGGCACCCTGAATTTCAAACATTCTACCATGGTAGCAGATAAACTTTTTCTGACTCTCTGGGCTGTTATGAGGACCTGGAACACTGGTGCCAAATTAGTTTTCAGGGATCTGGGTAAAGGGAGGGCTGGACGTTAGGAACACACACACTGACCACAGCGACTGACAGATGGAACTGCTTTCCTCAGTCCTGAAAACGGCAACTGCATTTGAATTGTGCATCTCATACTACTCCATTCCTAGAGAGGGATTTGGTTTTTTTTTGCAGGCAGAATCATTCCAGCACTCTGCCAAGGGCTGGTGAGAGAACAGCCCATGAGGTTACGACCCAAGGTGGTGTGCAAGGGCCACGACAGGGCTGCTGACACTGACAGTGGCTCCTCCTACCAAGAGTCTGAGCAGAGACAAATCTAACACAACAACAACAAAGAGGCAGTCTAACTGACTGCGGACTGTTCTCAAAGCTGTCAGCAAGTGCTCACTACTACAGACTCTCCCGTCTACTGTTTAGAGAAAGAATTAGGCAGTAATATATTCTTCTCCTAAAGACACAGGGTTTGTTTCTCCTAATGACAAAGTCTACAACGTCCTTGTTGTTCTCCCCAGTGCCACCAGTAGGTACAGTTGCCACTCTGTATCCCTTGGCTACCTCGAGTGCAGTGCCACAGAGATCCCATTTCGCCTTTTCCACTCCCACCTGCCTGACCCAGGAACAAAAGGCCAATGCAGAAGGGACATCTGACACGAGCTCCTTCCTTACTCGGAGTACGAGAACTGGTTAGATAACTCAGGCCTTGCTCCAGACTGGCAGTCAGCAATACTCAATAAAGAGGATGGAAAGATGAGAAACAATTAATTAAGAACTGCGTAAGAAAACAAACCTCTTGGAATCTCAAGGCTCTGCCCCTTGCCCTGAGCATTTGTCCCCAGACTGTCGATTGCTGCTGTGTCCAACTTGTATTCTCGGGAGCTCACACCTCCATCATTTATTCCACTCTTCCTGCCCCGAGATCTGATGACATTAGACAGCCTCCTTGCTCATGATCACTTTGTGACACATCATAACAACTTATCCTTCCAGGCAGACAGTGACATTCATTTCCTCCCACTGCCTTTTGCTGTGGGCAGCGAGGGGCCACGGAGCACCCGTGGGCACCGCTCCACACGAGGTGAGCTGTGCTCCAAAAACACCTGTGTGTCCAGGGACTCACATCAGTGCTGCCTTACTCGTTAAAAAGGAACCTCGTCGTGCACAGAGGACACTGTTTTGAACTAGTGATATAGCAAACACGAATTAGCAACAGCACATGAAATGGCACCATCTGTGAATGGTTTTATACTTCTTCTCCAGTGTAAAAAAATGACAAATCAAACCCAAGAGTTTAACCCCAGAAACATCTTGTGTGTCTGCTGAGAAGAGCTAAGGGAAATCCTATATCCAAGGCAACAATATCCATGAAGCTGTTTCCAAGAGGGACTGTTTCCTGTGTGCCCTGAACCTTCGGCACAGAAACCACCACAGCCTAACGACAGGAGCTCCCAGCACCTCACAACTGGACCACAACAGCAGATTGACTACTGAACCCTCGAGCACTCCTGAAAAATGCTGAAAGAGCAAACTGTAAAATCCAGGACCAAACCCCCACCCCATTCACCCAATATCCCAGGAACAACAGACATGAAATTTGGCTCAGAGAGAAAAAAACCAAGCAAAACCATCAGCCTCCTTTGCAGCAGGGATGTCCCACCAGTGCCTGTTCCTCACAACTCTGTAACAAACTGCTTCAAGTTCTCATTTCACATTCTCTGACACAGTAAAACCAGAAGTATTTTACAGAACCGTTCTAAACCAAAAGCTGCTCAGGTGAGCTCTGTTTATGCACCTTCCAGGATAAAGGAGTGGCTCTTCCTAGGCCCACGAGTGCTCCAGCACAGCGAAGGGACTTACAGAGGAGTTTGGGATTGTATTTGGCACCTTGTGATCTCAGCCAGTAAGAGCACTACCAAAAACTGATAGGACATGAAATAACAAATGTCTCTGTGGCATCAACAGAGATAAGGTTTGCATTATTTTTACACAGCTTTGAAATTAGGATTCATTTCCAAGGTTTCCTGTGGACCATTACCCAGCACCCAACAGCTAACTGAGAGGGAAGTGGCTGGAGGTGCACGTGTGCTGCTCACAGGGAAACACTCCCAAATGTGTAGGTGCTCTCTCTAAGACTGATCTAACCAAAAACTGACATGGAAACCCGTTTCACCATGCAAAAAGGCTGCAGAGGAGAAAATGAGAGATGAAGAGGTAGTAAAGAAAGACCATTACTTCAGTTTGGGTTCCCGTCCCTCACTTGTATATTGCCAGCAGATGAGTCCGATCAGGTCGTGCACCTTGGCGTTGGCTATGGTCACCACTGTCATGGGCTGCAGTTTGTCCTGGCTTGTGTGCAGTGGGAGGTAGACATCAATTTTTTTGGTTGCCGTTGTACCAACATGACCCTGCCAAGAAAACATGTTTCATTAGAATGCATACAAAAGTATGACAGAGCTAACACAAAACCTGGGAATTCTCTTC